AATTGTGAGGACAGCACAGGACCAATCCATATTTTTGAGGATCTTCCTCTCTTTCTCTGTCCCTGTCCCAGCATGTTTATTTCCAAAGACCAACTTCTCCAGACAACATACCCAAAGTATACAAGACAGAGTTTCACTATCTCTTTTATTCTCCAGAGTACATAGCTTACTAGTGGTATACCTGAGGCAAGGTAAAAGGTAAGAATAAAGAATAAACGTATGAATTCTGCAAGATCAATGGTCATCCATGTTTGACTTTACACACATACCCCATACGCATGGTTTATTACTGAAACCACACAGAGTTAGAGAAAAATCCTCTTGATTCCTAATTAGGAATGGAATAGCATATATTACCCTTGGGATAGCATCAGATTGTGTTTAAATTCTCAAAAAATTATATGATTCACATCAAGTTATTTTCTGAGAGTTTATTTTCACTAGGATAGAATAAGAAAATCCTTAATAGTTATGTGTTCAATTGACAACCAAAAGGTCAGCATTTTTAACCCACCAGCTACTCTATAGTAGAAATACGTGATCATTTCCATAAAAATTTATTGAAAGAACTTTTTATTAAAAAAATTAACTTAGTGGGAGATGGGACAAGGAGGAAAATGCCCAACAATGAATGAATGGAAATCCAAGTTCTTTATAAACTTTCATTAAAATCTAAAAAAACAAACAAACTAGAGCCTTAGAAACTCTCTGTCAGAATCAACTTGACAACACTATATTTGGGGTTTTAGATAGGCCCACTGCCCCTTACATGACTTACTCTATAGGTTCCTAAGAAGACCATGGGGCTTTACTTTGGAACTATGAATCCTAATGACTGAGATCATGGTCTGGCTGACGGAAGGGAGTGAAGAAATAAAAGTAGTCAGTAATATTGAATTTCCTAGGAAGTTAGGCAAGAGCTGCATTGCAATCCCAAAGGTGTGCAGTTCAAGTCCACCAGCTGCTCCATGAAAAAAGGATGAACATTCTCCTCCCATGCAATTAACTGCCTCTGAGAACTCACCAGAGGATCAGGTATGGATCAGTTCCAACTCACAGACACACAACAACAATAGGAAATTAGGAAGATAGAGTGAAGAGGCAAATTAATCCAGACTAATTTTAAGTGTGGTGAATTAAATTGGAGTTTTTAAATGCTCTGTTATCAAAATTGAAAAATAAATCCAAAAGCCAACTAAACCTAAACTCACATTTTTAGATGAGCAAATTGAAGTAGAAAAGGACCAAGAATACTTTCTCTATTTAAAAGTAGCAGAAATACACAAGAATCGCATGATCTTAGAAATCAATGCAGAAAAGGCATTTGAAAAAATTCAACAACTCTTTCAGACCAAAACACTCAGTAAAATAGGAATAGAGAGGAATTTCCTCAACATGTTGTTGTTGTTGTTGTTGTTGTTATGTGCCATCGAGTCGCCTGTGACTCATAGCGACCCTATGTACAACAACAGCCCTAAACTCCACTCTGTCCTGTGCCAATCGCACTGTCTCTGACACTCCCATCTCAATTATCCCAGTCACTGAATCAATCCACCTCATAGAGGGCCTTCCTCTCCTGCGCTGTCCCTCCACCCTCCCAAGCATGATGTCC